GTCGTAATATGTCATCAGTTGGTACCTACCTAGTACTAGCCTAGTACTTACCTTTCAGTTCGGATCATCAACAAACGTCACGCCCCGTCACACAAATAAAAAACAGGACCTACTAGATATCTCACTTCAAGCGACACCTATAAAACGAAGTCAGGAATAATAATATCATCTGGAATTTCGATGAAAAATATCGTGTATTTCCATCTCGTCTATCTTTCTGTCAATCACTATTCAACAAGAATGTAGAAAAAATCAATTCACATGATACCAGTTGACAGTTGATAGGTCGGAATTCAAAATTCATTCGAACGATTTTGTTCCATATTTTTCTATTGAACCAGTCAGAGTGTGCCGTGTAAATTGAAGAGCAGTTCCCATAGAATTTTGTCTGATCTTTCTGAATCTGATAGAATTTTTCGAGAAAACTGGTCAAAAAGTTAACTTTTTTAACATAATCATGAAACATAAAATTTTCCCAAGTCCGGACCTGAATATTTTTTTTTCATAAAATGTTATCTTGGATAGTTTTAGTAGAGATACGTCGTTGCCAAATTTCAGCAGATTATGACGAATCATTTCTGTAATATCGATCATCAAAGTTATATAGCAATTTCACATAATACCCTGTATCTTCGTTATGGAGGGTCAAAAAATGTTTTCATATATATACATCAACTCGTCCCGATTTCCCCTATTAACCATTTGGCTATGTGAGTCTTCTCATGAAACACCCTGTATAGAAGTTGAATGATGATCTCGAATGCGGATTGGTATTCACAATAACTGAAAAAAAAAAAACAATTTGCTAGAGTAGGCGCGGTCCCAACAAAGGGAATAACCTGTTTCTGTAGTTTCACGAAGATAAATTCATTTATTGTACCAGGTAAGGGTAACGAGTTACTGTATCTCAGGAGCTAAAAACTTTGCTAACAAGGTCTTCAAGAAACGAAGGTTTGATGAATAACATAAAAAACCTTCTATGCCACTCTGGTTGTTATAGCCTTTGCAAAGGGGCCTTTCTCATCAACTATATGAGTTCCTGAGAAACAGTACCTCATCACCCTTATTGAATCACCTGGTACAAGAAATTATGAACGGCATTCTTATAGAGCATAAAGCTCTGCGATCAATGTTGAGAGAATGTGAATTAATACATATACAATCTACCTGACTATGTTAACCTCAGTGATTCACCACTTGGTTGACTTGCTAGAAAATCTCGTGAATAACCTGAGATTGCACTCAATGTTCCTTCTCCAAGTGGATAGTAGCTTCAAAATTGTTCAATTCAACCATACGCTATGGAGAGTTTCCAATTATCTACACCCAATTCTGAAGAATTTTCATGAATTATCACAGATGAGTTAATCAGTTTTGGCTATAGAAAATTTCCTGAGTATATTAAATTGATTTTCATATCATTTTATCACAAATCGAATCAAATCAAATATTTTATTCATTCAAAAGACCTAATTTAGGTATAGAATTTGTCAAGGTCAAAATACAATGCATGTTTGTTTAAAATAATTATCTATAAAATTATAAAATGCCTTAAAATGTAAGTACCTACGTAAAAACAACACACAAATTAAAAATGTAAAAAAAAATGCAGTCACATAAACAGTTCATTGATATCATAAAATAGATTTGCCATCAGAAAATGTTTAATGGACTTTCGGAACTTGGAGTGTGATGATTGATTCTTTATCTCTTCAGGTAATTTGTTATAGACTCTTATGCCAGTTGAAAGTGGACCACTTGATGAAATTTGAAGGTTATTTTGACTTGGATATATCAACTGGTTGTATCTGGTTTGATAGCAATGTATGTCCATATGCCCAGGAAGAGTGTTTCTTATTTTATGAATGTAACATGCTAATTCCATTATAAAGAGACATGCTAGGGGTAATATATTCAACTCAGCAAATAGGGGTTTGCAAGAGAGTCTGGATGATACGCTTTTCATGGTTCTCAGTGCTTTTTTCTGTACTAGGAATAATTGCTGTGCCGCTGGAGAATTACCCCATAGTAAAATGCCATAAAGTAAAGTGGACTGAATTTCTGCAAAGTAAAAATTTCTCATACAATGAATGTCAACAACCTTCTGCATACATCGGATTTGAAATATTTTTGTATTTATCATTTTGATTTCATTAGATATATGATCTTTCCAACTGAGATCATCCTCCAGAGTTATTCCTAGAAATTTTACTGTTTGTTTCCTATTGATTTCAAAGTCATCTAATTTAATTGTGATCGGATTGTGAATAATTCTTTGTCTAGTATGAAAGATCGAATACTCCGTTTTTTCGGTGTTGAGAAATAACTGATTCGCCGAAAACCATTCACCAAGTTTATGGAGAAGACGATTACATGCTGTTTCATTCTGTTCACTACACTCTTGTGATACTAGAAAAGATGAGTCATCGGCGTAAAGTGTAATTTTATATTCAGGTATGAATTCAACCAAGTCTGCAATCAACAATGAAAAAAGAATTGGTGCTAGAACACTGCCCTATGGTACTCCCAGTTCCAGTTTCGAGGTGTTAGAGCAATGCTTGCTAATAGAGCCATCAGTTTCCTTGAAATTGATTTGAACAAACTGACTTCTGTTTGATAGGTATGATTCGATCCAATCCGCTGCTTTACCTCGTATGCCACAAAGCCAAAGTTTTTCCAGCAATATGTCATGAGGTACGCAGTCGAATGCTCGGCTCAAGTCACAGAATATCCCCACTGGAGATCTTCTTCTATTGATCTCTGCTAAGACATTGTTGTAGAAATCAACTGTTGCAGTAGTGGATTTCTCATTACGGAACCCATGTTGCTGATCAGGTATTAGTTTAAATTTATTGATAAATGGGATAAGTCTATCAAGCATACAGTACTCTGCCAATTTGGAGAATGGGGAGAGACCAGATACAGGTCTATAATTCTCAATACAGGTTCTATCTTTTTTTTTGTATACTGGAGTAATTTTAGCTGACTTTAGGCAATTTGGGAAAACACCGGTTTTAAATGAATAGTTGACTAAGTGAGTCATAACTGTAACTAGCTCACTGCCGAATTCTTTCATTAGAGCTGTGGGAATATCATCTGGACCTGTAGACATCTTGTTTTTTAGCTTTGACACAATTGATGTCATTTCAATTTCTGTAAAGGTAATCAATCCGAATGAATTCACATTACTCTTACCTGAGAAGTTAAAATTATTATTATTTTTTATGTTTTTCACCACATTCTTAGGAGCTTCAATGAAAAAGTCATTGAATGCATCAGCTATAATTTTTGGATTAGTAATTTCATTGTTATCTACTGAAATTTTCATGTTAAGTTCATTTTTTGTTTTATTTCTGAGCTTGTTAATGATTTCCCAGGACGTTTCATTCTTGTTGTTGGATTCCTGAATGATGTCACTATAGTATGATTTTTTGGTTATTTCTCCCAGGTGCATGTGTTCAGCTCTCAATAATTTGTTATGGTTATTCAGTTCAGGGTGTTGCTTCTGTAATATAAAGAGGTCTTTCAGATTTGCACTTGAGTTTTTGATTTCTAATGTAACCCAAGACTTATCATTTGTCTTATTTATTTTTTTTTGCATTGGGAAACATTTATCAAATATCACCAGGAACCTTTCTAAAAATATGTTGAATTTATTATTGCAATCCTGAGTATCATACACTTGCCCCCATGTCTCATCTTTCAAACATTGTCCAAAAACTTGTTTGTTAATGGAATTGAAATATCGTTTTTTCATTAACGCTGTACAGTGATTATTGTTTTTATTATTAATAGACTCTGAACCAGTCTTTACAATTATGAATCTGTGATCCGATAGATGGGTGTCGTTAACTGATGTTTCAATTACATTCCCTGAATTAGTGAATATGTTATCAATTCTTGTTGAACTAATGGAAGTTACTCTAGTATTTTCAGACACTATTTCATGTAAACCATATTGTGCCATTATATTCAAGATTTCATTTGCCTCAGATGAGGTATTGTTGAAGTTCACATTGAAATCTCCGGTAATCCAAAGATACGCATTCAAGGAGAATATTGCATTCAGGACGACTTCCAGCCTTTCAATAAACACTTGAAAATTGCTTGTTGGAGCTCTATATATACAAACAATGATATGATTCACTTTATTCATGGTCCATTTTGATCCACAAATCTCTATATCTTGTTCGATGCAATATTTACCAGTATCAACCAGTTCAACATCCAAGTCATTTCTGGCCCAAATCGCACAACCCCCACCTCTCTAGATAACTCTACTGTAATGACTAATGAGGTGATACCCATTGATGGATATACTACACACTTCATTTCCTTTAACCCATGTTTCTACAAGAGCGATAAAATATGGTTGTGACTCATTTAGATCTACTTCTAATAAATTATTTTTATGATTGATACTACGGACATTGAGAAAATATATAAAATTGATAAAATCATTACAAATATTTTTCATTCTAGTTTGTGATAATAAATTTTCACCTCCATTTCGGGTATTGACTCCATAACTCAATATTTCTGAAGAGGTACATTGTTTGCAGGGGATTTCAATTCTGTCAACCGTTTGAAGTCCTGTACTTGATGGTCCAATTGAAAATTTGGTGTTTCCAATGAACTATTCCTGATTCGGTCAAGGTATTTCTCCTCTTTTCTGAAGTTGAATCTATGGACAGCTACTCCTCTTGGCCAGAAGTTGTTTGTGTAAGCTTCTTCTTTCATATTGTAATTTAATCCAATTTCGAAACATTTATTATCTTTGATTTTCTTGAATGTATTTATTTCTTTAATGTATACTTGGCCTTCACTATTTGATTTAGTATTGAGGTATTTCACTATCTTATCTTTCGTGACGTGATCCTTCACCCTGGATACGAGAAGCCAGATTTTTTTCTCATGGTCTCTACCTACAAAACCAGTAGTTTCATCTTCATCACTTATTTGAGCTTGCCCAATTTGTGCTCGATGTTTTTTCCTGTGTCTTACAACAGTTTTGAAACCATCTTCGAATCCATTCTATCATCCTCAATATTTATCAGATGACTCATTATGGATGTTTGCCTATTCACAATTTCCTGGCGGCTGGTGTCTGCTTTTTTATCACTAATTGGGTTTGAACTTTTTTGTATCATTTTATCGTATGTTGAGTTTTTACGTACCTCAACCTTTTTTGTTGGACTGCCAGTCGATTCTTCTTTATCGATTGTTGTGATACAAGTCTTATTTGATTTTGATATGATATCCTCCAAATGTAAAATTTTATCGTTCAGTAATGCTATAAGTTTTACTTCATCAGAAATGATAGTATCTTTATCCTTGATTGTTTGTGTCAGCAGTTGGTTTATATCCTTGAGGTACAATTCTTCTGTAGCACATATGTCACTATCCATTTGGATTCTTTCTTTTAGGTTCGATGAATCACAACACATTTTTATCCTCAGGGCACAACTATTATGGTAAACTGCATCACAATTTACACAATTGAATCCTTTCAATACGTTTTTCTTACAGTATTTACATGCTTTCTTCAGCACTTCTACATTGTCCTTGTCACTTTCCGCCATCTTCACATATTGGCGAAGATATGTTGTCCAGTTGATGGCAACAATAATTCCTAATTTCGGCGACGTCTAAAGTTGTTGCTATTGTCAATTGTGTTTCCGTTGGTAATTGCTGTGATTGGTGCATCTGATGGGTATGTCGTAGTCTCAATAGTGAGTTAGTGATCGAATTCAATACATAGGCATTGTTTAAGAGGCGATTCTCTTTCGCATCTATATAAACATATTTTTCCTAAAAATGACTTGTAATCCACCAGCATAGTAGCAAACTCATACGTATCCGCCTTGGAAGTAATGCTTCATTCTTTGAAGAATAGAAACCGCAGGGATGTCGGCGATTTTTCAATTTTTTCGAAATATACTTTTACGGCTATCTTTGTACCAGCAGCAATAATACCTGTCAGAATATCTTAAATAACTGATATCTCTCTTATTCAACGCTTTGAAATCTTGAAAAAGTCATATTCATTCAACAATTGTCATGCAATTCTCATCTTCACAGAATTTGGAAAACCATTTCATGCATCATCCATGTCACAAATTATTGATGTCATCTGGATTCCAAGAAGAAAATACCCACATTGGTCAAATATGAATGCATGTCACGCGAGAATTCATTGTATCGACTAGCAACAACCATGAAAAATGGTGCACTTTCTTCACACTCTTCTGTTGAATAATGAAAGGGTATTGTGACAATTCACAAACTTGAGGCTGGTGGCCGTGAGCGTAGAGTCGCTGGCTGTTGCCCAGGCGGTCCGGGTTCGATCCCCGGCGCGAGCACTGAATTAATTTTCGGTAGTTTCGTTGGGCGGGAGGAGATAGGTGGCCAACCCAACATTCTTGGTACCTAGATATCAATCCTTTGGACTGTCCACAGTTACCAGCCGAGTAGTGCTTCGGATGACACTTAAAAAGCTAAGGTCCCCGTCTTCTTAACTCACACAAGTCTCTGACTTTCGAGGGTTGCTTTGCAACTAAGCTGGCGGTTAAAAACACTTTTAAACTTTTTTTTTTTAATATACATTGAGAAAGTGCACTATACTTGAGAGTTGTGGAAAACAATTTCTCCCGCTTCAAATTCCACTTGAAGCACCGATATACCTCACTTCTTCCTCACAAATTTTCGAAAATGGTCACCATATTCCAGGTGCCGTCTGTCATATCTTTGGTTTTTTCATCGCTTGGAGCGAATATATAAATGGCCGCGTCCGTCATCCTGCCACGTTCCACCATTATTTCATCAGTTTTCATATCAAAAACATAATAAAAAGTGAATGCACTCAAATGAGACACTCAGGTTGATGGAACAATAATTGATCGAATCGGAGTTTGCCAGTTAAGAACACTAATTGTTTCTTAAGTATCCATGACAGAACTGATGGATGGGTATCTATCCCGAATCTTCCGCTCGGAGCCTTCGATGTTGGAAAATGGATATTTTTTTGCGCGCACTCGTTAGGTTGATGTTTATTTTTGGCAGATGTCTGACTACAAGAATATGTTATGCATGTCACTCATTCATTTCAGCTTCATGTTCACATTCGGGAAAAAAGTACACTAGATCCACCATATAAAATAATGAATTGTGAATTAGAGATACAATTTCCATCATAAGGTGAATTTTGCGAGCTCTACTGAAATCACATGGAAACATTCAGCTGAGGCATAGAATATGTACTGAACATTCGAAGGCTAGGTGCTAAGAACAACTTTACTAACTCCGATCCAATGACCTACCATCTCAGCTATATGCCTTTTTCATCAAGCTTCATTCAAAGAAATCGTCTCATATTGGGTGGCACAAAATACACCGACAGGAGAATCTCGGTGATAATTATCGAATGTTTGTCGATCATAATTAATTAGTCAAATTCCAAAGGCTCTTCCATCAAAATATTACCTGATTCTCTGGTTCAATTATTGACATTGAATGATTTATTGAGATCGAATATTCTCAGATAAATCATGAACATAAAGAATTATAAATACATTGAGAATCCGCATTCTATATACAGGTTGGGCCATCAGTAACGCCTCGGTCTCTAGAAGGCTAACCACTTATCTTCTTGGAATTCTTCCTCTTTACCATTTGAAATTATTTCGAAACATACATGGTGTCCCCAAAAATCATAAAACACTGAAGTTAAACTTTTTTCTATCGAACACCCTATATATTATTCCATTTTGAGATTCTCCCTGATGAGCTGATTTCAACGACCCATTCATACTTGGGGTCTAGCAGTTATAATTACCGAAATATAGGGTGTGAAAAATCGAGGTTTTCCAAGTTCAAGAATTTTTTGTGTCGAAACTATTCATAATTGGTCAAAACGGCTCACATGTCCCTATCTCAACTGTTGATTAACTATCTACTGATATTTAATTGGGACATATACCGGGTGATCAAGATTCTGAATTCTGCACCACCCTGTATTTGTTTCAATTAAATGTCAGTAGATAGTTGATCAAAAGTTGAGATAGGAACATGTGAGCCGTTTTGACCAATTATGGATGGTTTAGACACAAAAAATTCTTGAACTTGGAAAATCTCGATTTCTCACACCGAGTCTCACACCCTATATCTCAGTAATTATAACTGCTAGACCCCAAGTATGATAGATTGTTGCAGTCAGCTCAGCAGGGAGAATCTCAAAATGAAATAATATATAGGGTGTTCGATTGAAAAAAGTTCAACTTTAGTGTTTTGTGATTTTTGGGGACATCCTGTATGTTTCAAAATAATTTCAAATGGTAGCCTATGTTGACATGCAACTTCCTAGAGGGGAAGAATTCCAAGGAGATAAGTGGTTAGCCTTCTAGAGACCGAGGCGTTACTGGTGGCCCACCCTGTATATGTGATGGAGATATCTATTTTTTCTTGGTTTAATCAACAGAAAACAACTGACAGCCCTCCTGGCTATATAACACGACGAACATTGAATTATCTCAAACACGATCACACACGATGAGAATTTGAAAACAAAAATATTCTGAAGTTGAAAATTGGTATTCTCCTTCAGATGACAATATGTGTATGATGCACATGATATAAATCTAAATATTCAACAGAAAACAACTCCTTTTCTTGCTATTTGCCAGGTCCTGTATGACGAATATCAATTTGTTATACATTCGAAAACAAAAACAAAATTCTGCTGTATTTGTTTATTGTGAACATAAATTTCAAATCAATAACAAATCGCCGATTCGCAGTGATAATCAATAAGATGAAATTATAATTAGAATTCGATTTGGTATTGATCAACAATGATACAGTGTCTGTGAATAAATGTGTGTGTCTCTTTATTTTGATAAATTTGTTCATTTCAAATCCACGTACCATAAACGGTGAGCATATTTACGTTCCCTATACAGCTAGCGCGATAGGTCGCTCTCACAGCATAGGCATTGGAGTACATACTGGAGGACTCCGTTTCCTAGCTGAAATGCGCTATATATCCAAACGACTAAGGACTGCTCTGTGGTGCATGGATCTGGACTATTCACAGATTTTGTTTTCCACACTGATTTTCAGTCTGAAGAAAGACACAATTTGACAATGAAACGGAAGTTTATTCATGCGGAATATTCAACTATACAAAAAATATAAATAAAATATATCGTCAGACCATTAGAAATGCTTCTCAGTTTCAGATTAATTTTTTTTTCTTACTGGTCATGAAGAATAGTGAACGAGGGACATAAAGCATAGAACGAAGCTTCGCTATCCATTTTCTTCATCTGCCTATTGAACTTCGTGACAATACGCAATAGTGCTGGATCAGATTCCACAAAGCTGCTAATTTTTTTCAGTTGTCTTTGAATTCTTTGAGTTCGACTGATCCATCTGTTTCAGTTTCGGTCACTTCAATGGAAACATTAATTGCTTCATCAGGAGTCGTCTCATTAAGGCCATCTTATGTTTACAGCGTCATGGGTTCGCCAAAGTCGGCAGTAATCTCGTTATCTTTTTCTTTATCCATTTCTTTGAAGAAGTTGGTTGGAATATCAGGAACGTTGAGCACACCAGTATTATGAAAAACGCACAGATGCTCGCAATATTTCCCTCCTGCCCCTGCTGAACAGTCACACACTTCCAACTTTGTATTTACTTGTTACGAAAGTTCCTGATCTGCAGCTAAAGTAACTATCAACTGATCTTCAAAAACTTTCAAAACATGAAGATCAAATGATTTTTTGCAAAATTTCGTAATATTTATTTATTATACAAGAGAAAAAAGTTGTAGATTTTAGCTCCAGGTTGTGTTGTCTCCCGACGCGTAGCGGAGGGATACAAAAAACCGTGAGCTAAAATGTAATATTCTTCCCGTGTATAATACACTATTTTTTTCTGTGACAGAAGGAAGGACGAATCAATATTGAGCAGATATTACATTATTTCGAAATCTTAAGATTATCGACGTGAAATTTCAAGTTTTTAACAGTAGGGACACCTGCGTTTTATAGACATCTTTATCATTATTTTGAAGTGATCAAATATCTGATGTCACTTCCGTCAGTTCAATTCTGTGATTTGATTTTGAAAAATTGCGAATTCAGTAGTTGTTTAGTAATATACGAAACCGCGAAGTCGAATGGAAGATAAAAGGACTTGCAGTTCTTTCTCGGAGACGGTATTATTGACTCATTTTCCGGAACTATAGCACAACAAAAGCCATTAACAGAGTATATATATGTGATATATATCGGGGAAAAAAGTACTCACTTTTTTCCCACGGGAAAAAAGTAATTTATGAAAAGTGACATTTTATAACCTGCCAACAGAGATGAAATGCCAAACTTTTTTACCGGCACAGAAAAAAATAAATTAACAATTTGTTATCCCTGCAGCTAGCATAACGCAACAACTTTTTTTTGTAGAAGTCTTCCAGTCATGAAGAGATGAATTCTAGGAGAGTTATTCGGCAACTAATTGCTATGACAATAAACAATAAACAATAACACACGGGAAAGCCGATGCTCTTCGCGCATATCAGCTA